TAGAGATTTCAAGCTTTCATTTGAAGAAAAGTTCATCATTTTACGATGATTTTTCGCGGAGTTACCGTTAACCAAAGTTGAATACTATATTGCATGATGTTCATATTTTGTCCAACCCCTGTATATATATATGTATATATAATAAAAAGATTATAAATAATATATATTATATATGTACATGTATATATATATATATGTATATATATATATATACACAATGCGATCCATAAGTTCCCAGACTGATTTTTTTGTAGCCTTCCCATTGACGTCATTTATCGAACGACTTTTTAACTATGTCGTGTGAATCCTTTTGAACAGCTGTGTTGAGTGGCATCATTTTAGTTGTTGAAGAGTGCGGACGTCTAATATAACCTGGTATTGTGTATGTGTATCAGACTCGAGAGATGGACAAGAAGGAGGAACAGCGGGTATAGCAATTAAATTTTGTACGCTTTCTGAATCAGTAATTCAAATGTCTTTGCCGTGAAAATTTATATAATAATATAAAGATCAGCTTTGCAGCAAAATTTAATTGCTACCCGCTGTTTCTCCTTCTCGTCCATCTCCCGAGTTTGACACATACACAATACCAGGTTATATTAGACGTCCGCACTCTTCAACTGCGGCTAAAATGATGCCACTTAACACGGCTGTTCGAATGGGTTCACACTACATAGTTCAACAGTCGTTCAATAAATGGCATCAATGGAAAGACTGCAAAAAAATCAGTCCGGGAACTTATGGACCGCACACATAAGTGTGTACACACACACACACACACACGCACACGCACACGCCACGCACACGCACACGCACACACACACCACCACCTATAATATAAAATACTATATATATTTTACAAAATAATTTTTAAAATATAAAATAAACCATGTTTACATTTGATTTTAAACAGCCGGGTACTTGCAGAAAAGGAAAAAGAAGCAGAACTTTTTTATAAATCTTCAGATTCGGAAGATGATGTACAACAATCTATGTTTTTGGTTAACAAAGATATAAAAAAATCTTTCAATACAAATGAAAGAGAGACGCCTTTAGTAGATATCCATAATATATTTCAAAATCCTGAAAGGATTGAAACATTCACTCAAGATTCTGAAGATAACAAAAAAGAGATTGTACAAAAAGATACATCCAGATGTCAAAAATTACTTGAAAAATATTTTTGCGAAATAGATCGTCAAACTGTAGAGTTATCCTCTTTAACAGATCATGACAGTAATCCCGACGTACAACAGATAACAACAAATGAATATAATCAAAGTCTTCCAAAGCTTAATTTACCAAGGAAATTGTTTGGCCCACATTTTGAAAATGGATCAAATGACAGCTCTAAAATAAATCTCGATGAACAGGAAGCGACAAAAGGAATAGTTGAAACTATTGTTACCTCTTTGAATAAGAAGAAATGCATTAATGATGAAAGAAAATCAAAAATTACTATGACAGAAAATCAAATATCAAAAGTACATCAAGATGATTTTGAAGTAATTAATGAAAGAGATAAAAATCTCGTTACAGAAACAATGAAAATGACAGAAACACTTTCTAATAGCATAAATAGTAAGGAAGTAACTGAAATATTTCAAAGTGATAAGGATGTATCAGATAATGTTATATGTTCCAATTCTAATGATTGCATTAAAATACAGGATAGAAATAATAAAGAAAAAGATGAATATTCTGCAATAAATCATATAGAATCATCATCTCTTGTAACTAATGATACTCAATCAAAAATTCAAGATAATCCTTCAATAGATGAATGTAAAACGTTTGAAGGCCACATACAAGGCTTACCTCTTCCAAAATTTGCAGACGAGACTTTGGCAAATAGAAAAAAGTTATCAGCATTAGTATCCAATTCGAAAATTACATTAAGAGGATCGCCAGGTATGATTATTGATCTAACAGACAATGAAAAATTAAACGTAAAAGGTGTAAATACCTTATTAGACAGATTCTTCTATAAACATGTTGACACAAAAAAACAGAATGATAATAAATCTAAAGTAACTGTAGTACACTTACAAAATACGCAGAAAGGTCTTCTTCCAATTAAAGAAGTACTCCCGTATAAGGTGCCTATTAACATTGATAATTCTGAATTGAATAAGCCTGGAGCCAAATTAATGCGTTTAAAGGAAGATCTAAAATTACAAATGACTTTAAAGCGAAACAAAGAATGGAAACAGAAAGAAATAGAGTTGCAAACGCAGGAGGAAGAAGAATGGAATGAAAAGGAAGAAAGTGATTATGATTTAGATGAACAAGAAGAGGAAGAATTGTATCTTGAATTGAGTGGCAGCGAAGAAAGCGAACCCGAAGAGAATGACGTTTGCATTAAGGATAAAAAGAGAAGTAAATACCAATTTGCAGATGACGAAGCTGAAGTTACTGACAATGAAGATTCAAGTACAGAAGAAACATGCAATGAGAGTGATACGGATCATGTAAAACATAATAAACAATCCACAAGTTTTAAATATAGAAAAGGATACGTGGACGTTGATGTAGATAAGATTGAAACTGATCAAGAAGAAGACGATGAAGAAGAAGAAAAAGATGAAAATGAAGAAAGTTTAGAAAAAAAGGAGAATGGAAATGAATCTGATTTTGAAGATGATGACAATGTTGATGTTTGTAAAAGCTTTAAAATTGCCAAAAACAAAAATAATAGCAAAACAAGACAATTAATGGAAGAGTTTCAAGACGATTCAAACATTACAGATCTGAGTTATTTACGAAATGATAATAGTCAATTAAATATGGCGACAAACGTAGATGCATCCAAAACGCATTGTGAAGGTAATGATTGGATAAGTGAAAACGAAAGCAATATGCCTGCTTATCAACATGTAGAAATTGCTACAAGAAGCCAGATATGTAAAACACCTTTGACAAAAACAAGTATGCTTGATTTGGTTTCTCCTATAACGCAATTAAGCGTATTGAATACTACTTTAGCCTCCAATAAAAATAATTCATTGCGAAAAAGTGAATATTTAGTTGATAAACATGAGTTTCTTTCTATGGAAAATACACAGAATGACGAATCTTCTGAATATGTATGTAACATTAGAAGTAAGTCTATTTTAAAAAAGAAACTGTTCGATGATATTGGAGAAACTATTGATGATGAATATCTTATGCGATTGTGTTCGGGTAAATTTGAATCTACACAGAAAACTGATCTGGATTTATCTTCGCCATTCAATACCATTGAATCGCAATTACGTTCAAGCGAATCCGAATTAGGTTCTGAAAATTCTAACATTAAATCAATTGATGTTAAACAATCAAAAAATACAAAAATAAATAATAAAATGCTTGAAGATATAAAATTGCCTTTAGATGAAGATTCCAATAATTCAAGTCATGCAAGTGAAGTAAATAAAGTTAATAAAATGGATTCGGAATTAAAATCAAGAGTTATTTCCTCAGACGATGAGGATGATGATACGTATCTAAAACCCAAAAAACGCTTAACCAAGAGATTAAATTTTTCCGATTCGGAAGAGGAGAAGTCTCAATTTTCTGACGAAGAAAACGATAATATGGATAATGAAGAAGCAGAGGTACAATATGTTGATTATGACTCCGAGGAAAATGAAGTGACGGTCGTACCGGAAAAGGATATAAAAAAAGTTGCAGCTAGTTTTTTGGAAGAGGAAGCAGAGTTAAGTGAAAGCGATTGGGATTCTGCTGACGAAGATGAGAAAGACTTGGATAAATTAGAATTTGAAGAAGCTGATGATGAACACATAGACGAACACGAAATGAAAAATCAATTAGAAAAGATCCATATGAAACAAATACTTGATGAAGATAAAAGGGAAGTTAAATTGCTTAAAGAGTTATTATTTGAAGATGGCGATTTACATACCGATGGAATGGGACGGGAGCGTAAATTTAAATGGAGAAATATAGGTATGAGAATATACACTATTTTTTCCATTTATTGAATGTAATTATTGTAATTTTTTAATGACAAATGATTGATTAGTAACAAGTACTAAGATATAGATATGATATAATTTATAGATATGATTTAAATTTTCAAAATGCAATATTAGATATAATGCTCTAATATGTGTGTATTATTTTATAACATTGTAATTCTTTTTTATTAGATAAATTAGGAAATATTGAAATGCCACAAATACCTGATGAAAACGCTGATGGCTGGGTGGATGTGCAAGAAGATGAAGAAGAAGCAAAGTGGAGTAAACTCAAACATGAAAGAGACAAATTTCTTGAGGAAAGAATGAAAGAGGAGAAGAAAGAGGTACAAAATTATTATATGTAACAATGATCATGACATTTAAAGAATATGTTTATTTAGATGTATCTTATATATTCACAGAAATGTTTAAATAATGAAATTGAGGATGAGTTATGCGATAGTCAAATCTTTAAATTCGGACTGAAAGCAGTTAGGAAAATTAAAGATAACGAATCAGAAAGACAGGATACTTCTCTTGACAAAGTAGATCCTTCTGAGAATTTGGAACCAATTATGCCACGAAATATAGTGGATCTCTTAAATGGGCCAAATATTGGAAAGAAATCTCAGATGATATATGTAAGATAATTTGCTAATTAATATTTATTAAGATATGATATACATATATGTATTATATTTCATAAGCAATTGAATAAATAAATGAATGAATAATTTGTTTGCGCTTGTTATATATAATTGTATTTTACAGAATGTTATAAAAAAACGTTCTCTTTTAACACGAGGAGAAGAGTCATTAGCGAAGATAGCTTCATTGGCAAAACAAGGTGATTCTGCTTCTCATGCAATAAATACAAGAAATTTTGTCTTCCCACATATCGATCAAACTACAAATAATACATTTAAAAAAGAAAGTGAATCAACTGCAGAAAATTTAAATTCGCAAATTAAGGTATATAATTTAATTTTATTTATTCAAATTATATAAAATTTATTTGTTATTGCATATATGTTTTTTCATTTATCTAATTTCTATATATTTCCATTAAAAGAAATACGTACATTTTAATACTTCCTTTTTACAGTCTGGAAAAAGAAAAATGATGTCAAATATGTTATCGACATCGAAAAAAAGGCGAAAATAAAACTGTTCTTAGAAGAAAATTATTTTATTTACATAATATGTAAAGACTGTCGTTTTTACAAATAACATTTAATATAAACTTGATATTTGTAAATGAAATGATAATGAACTTATTTTTGTTAAGCTACTCCTAAAAGTTTGTTAGAAAATGTTTACTTAAGAATGTTAATAATGACAGTTAAATGCCTTCTTATGTATAAATAGTAAATATATACAAACGACAATTCATCCAATAGAGAAAGAATGATTTCTTTATGAAAAATAAAATTATGACGTTCCTTATTTATTTTTACAAAAAGATCCTCGCAATTTCACTTTTAAAATCACTTAACATAGTATTTATGCCAAAGATACAGAAACCAAGACAAGGAAAAAAAATTTTTTTTAAGATTTATTGTATTATATTGTATCTTTGGCTATGAAAAACAGCTACATTTGACGATACTCAAAATACAACATGATTTCGACAAATATACGAAATATTTGATTTTACAATTTGTTGGCTTTGCACTCACTTAGTTATATTACAAACTTGTATTTTTTTGACATCGTCTTAATGTCGGAAATTCGGGTTATCCGTTTGCCATCCTTTTGCATTTGGTCCAAACTGATATACCAATCTGCGACCAAGTACTGGTAGAAATATTTTGCTCTTGTAATAGTACCTAAAAAGTATTATTTTGTGAATAACTAATAATATATTTAATCTTTAAACCACTACGTCCAAAAAATCACACTAACCACAATGTCGGTCTGACAGACCGCTATCAGAGAGATTCTCTCTGTCGCTATTATGCTCCCACTAAATTTTATAAGTTAATTATAATAAAAAAATATGTTTTCTGAATATTTGTTGATGGGGAAAAGGAAAAATATGTTTTAATGTGAGGGTTAACAAAAAAATCTCATATACAAAAGAAATAACATATATTTAAATGGTGACACACATACTTTACAAATTGTTAACTTAAATTTAAAGTTGAATAAAAAATATTTTAATAATTGTCTTAAAATTGAATAGTTGACTAGCGAAAACAAAAGTGTAATTTATTATTAATGTTATTAATGTTATTAGAGTTATTTATTATATAATCTCTCTTATATTATCAACTATATTTAAAGGAACTGTTTGAACTTTTAAATATTGTTGGTATACCAATTAAACAGTGCACATCTTTCGCGAATACTAAACAAATCGATGTCTCGAATTTTATGCGCATTTATATGCAGTTTTATGTTTTAATTTATAATGGCATAATGTGCATGTTACAAAAATTATAATAGCATTAAAAAGCCATTTTTAGTCTTTTAGCCTCAAAATATAACAGCACACCAGTAAATAAGAGTTAATATGTGTAAATAAGACGTAGATTAAGAAATATATACATTCTCAATATTGCGAAAAAGTAATGCAAATCATAACATCGGTCTGAGAGACCCCTACAATTTTTCAAACATTTTACATTTTACACGTTTTCAGTGAATGATAATGAGACTACCATAGCGTTCCGTATGGACAGATGGCATATAAAGTCATAAAGCTACTATGAGTTTAGAGTGTCTCTTGTGAATGTTAAGAAAATTATTGACAAGTGAAGCTTCAATAGCGGTCTGTGAGACCGATATATATATTTAAATTTCTCAGCATATTAAGAAAATTTATTATTTATTATTACCTCATAGCTCGACTAAGTTTTTCATAAGTCATTTTTGTATTTCCTTTCCGTGAACCCCATCGTTTTGCCACTTCATCGCTTTTTACGAAGCGAAATTTGGCTTGTGAATAGTCTTCCCAACATATTAAACTTGGACATGTTTCTCTGTTACGTAGTAAATCTCTAATAAATTCCCACAATTTTCCTTGACTGGCGGCTATAAATGCAATTAAATCGTATAATTCAATGAATACATTTACTATTACATATGTTTTTCTTAAAATATTTTGCAATTATACAGGGCGTCCGGTATTAACCGTATCAAATCTCGTGGGCTGGTAGAGCAGATTAAACTGAACAGAAAAGTCTTCTATCATTTTGCAAAATTCGCAATCGTTAACGAGATATTAATTTTTGAAAATTGGCAAATAAACGCGTATCCATCCGGCCCACCGTCTGAAAACCAGCGGTGGGGCGGTCGTGCCGGCCGTATCTCGCCGCGTTGCTAGGCGTGTGGGAATATAATGCGTGGATAGAGGCGAATTTTGCAAAATGATAGAGGACTTTTCTATTCAGTTTAATCTGCTCTACCAGCCCACGAGATTTGATACGGTTATTACCGGACACCCTGTATAAAAATATTTACGATTTTTCTTCGTCTTTAATATCCTTGGTCTGCCAGGCAACCTCTTAGTCGCTGCTATTTCGATGCTATTATCTGATTCCGCATCTGAAAAAAGCAAAAAAATTGTAAAAGAGATAATGGAACAATCATCTAAAATCTTTAAATAATTTACCGGATATATTGCGCGCGTACTCATCCTGCGATAGCGGCTGAATGGTATCAAATGCTGGCACTATATAAAAGATTAATAGGTTTTATGAGTTTGTATTTATTAACAAAGAATGATTCTTCGGAAATTTAAAAATTTATGAAACTGCAGGCAATATATAGGATATCCTGATGTAATAAACTATATTTTTTATTGCTCAAATTTATCATGAAAGAATAAAATCAATGTCTAGAAGTTGGCACATTTTTTGTTTTATTGTTAACTAACAAAATAAAATTCTTTCAAATCCTACATATTAATAGTTTCATAATATTTAAAATTTTCGAATTTTTTTTAGGATTACTAGTTGTTAATAAATAAATAATGCGATGGAAAATAATTACAACTTTTTTGAAAAATTTCATAAATCAAGAAAATTTTTAGACAAATTATGTAAGTGTTTTAAAAAATACTTTTGTATATTGTTTATATCTCTCTACTGCATGTTTATATAATGTTTATACATTTATTTATTTATTTATATTTATACATTTATGTATAAATATAAATAAATATTATATATTACATTCATAAATTTTATATATTACATTCATATGATTTTAAATAAGTAAATAAAGTTAAGTAAAACATGTATTAGTAATATTAGTCTATTCTAAAATATAAAAAAAACTATATGATGAAAATATAAGAATATTGAGAAAATATTTCTCTTACTTTCGTTTATATATTTTTTATAATTTTTTAAACAATTGGTAGGTTTTTTAATCAATAAATATCATTAAAAGAAATATTTCTTTATAAAATTTTGTTCTATTTTTTTGTTGGTAAATAATAAAACAAAAATTTTAATGGCTAATTTTTAAGAGTCGATTTTGTTCCTTCAAAGTGCATTTAAAAAACAAAAAAAGAAGATTATTACTGGACATCTTCTATATATTGCCAAAATTTTAATTTTTTTCCGAATTGGGGAAATCTTTCCTTATAAATTTTGCTAGCTATCATTGCAGATCAAAATATTGAGTATAAAATTTGAAATTAAATTCTGGAATTAAAATTACAGGATAAAGTTGATTATACTTTGATGAAATTTTTTTAGAATCTTTAACATAGTTATATATAAATTTTATAATTTTTTAGAAAATTTCTCAAATTTTTTATACGAATCAGAAAATGCTAAGAAAGTCCATTTCTAAAATTCTTTATATATACAGAGTGGCCTACGTAAAGTGTTACAAGCTAATAACTCTAAAAATATTTGTTGTATCAAAACTTTGTTAATGAGGCAGTTTCGTGTATTAGAGGAGTCTTTCTAACTACGTAAATAAAAATCTTCCTCCCCTCCTCTTGAAGGAAATGGGGAATAACTTCCAAATTTCAAATGGAACCTCTTATAAAATGTTACATATTTGGATTCTACGAAGAGAAAAAATAAGTAAACTTTATTTGAAACATTTCTTTAAAAAATGCTTCTATCAAAAGTTATGAGCATTTAAACTTTAAAGTAGAATGCATTCAAATTAATAATAGCATAAATTAAATAATAAATTTTAAAGTTTTTCTGTTTTTTAAATTTATTAAATGTTCAGATTGTTGTCCATTTATATTTAAATATTTATTAATTCTTTCTACAAAATTTTGTCTTATTCTAAACTGTCTAAACATTTCTGGGGTCACACTAAGTGCAAGCTTCACATGTTCTTTGTTTTAACTATTCGTCGTCGTAAGTATTTGAAACGTGACTTCTTTTTTATATAGACGAAAGAAGATTTAAAACGAAGAATATGTGAAGCTTGCGCTAGTATCACCCCAGAAAATTTTGTTTAGAGTAAAACAAAATTTTGTAGAAAAAATTAATAAATGTTTAAATGTAAATGGACAACAGTTCGAATATTTAATAAATCTAAAAAACAGAAAAACTTTGAAATTTGTTATTTAATTTATGCTTTTATTAATAATTTGAATGCACTCTACTTTAAAGTTTAAATACTTATAACTTTTAATAGAAGCATTTTCCAAAGAAATGTTTCAAATAAAGTTTACTTATTTTTTCTCATAGAATCAAAATACGTAACATTTTATTGGCGATTCCATTTGAAATTTTGAAGTTATTCTCTGGTCCTTTCAAGAGAGGGACGGAGAAAGGCTTTTGTTTACATAGTTAGAAAGGTTTCTCTAATATATGAAACTTCTTCATGAACTTTTTGATATGACGAATATTCTTAGAGTTATTAGCTTGTAACATTTTACGTAGGCCATCTTGTATATGGAAATTCTGAAATATTTTTCTCATTCAATAATTTTCGAAGAAAACTTAAAATCTAAAAAAGTTTAAGATATTGTTTTAGGAATCTCCATAAAAAATTTAAATATAAAAAATTCTTAAAAATATAAAAATTTTTTTTCGAATATTTCAAAGAATGACTGCGTTTGCTTTGGTGCTTACAGCGCTCATAGCACTTCCTTGTTGTTTATCAAATAGAATACATTCAAATTAGAGTAGAGTGCATTCAAATTAATAATAAAAGCATAAATTAAATAACAAATTTCAAAGTTTTTCTGTTTTTTAAATTTATTAAGTCCATGGCATATAGAAAGACGTAAGTAGTAAGTAAATTGGCCAATCACAGTAGAGAACATAAGATTATTGCCTTACGTTTTTTACTGTGATTGGCCGATTTGCTCACTGCTTACATCTTTTTTCTATGTGCCATGGGCTTTAATAAACATGGACATATAATGTTCATAAGCGCTATAAGCGTCAAACTGAATGTATCCATTATGTCATTAATTGAGTTCAAAATTGTTGGTCGTTCTCTATATCTGTAAACATATTATGTTAGCAACGTGTATACGTACAAAGATTCGATATACGTTGCGAATGGAGAAGATTGTATAATCGCTCCCCATACACAGGATCATGATTTATAAAATCTTCCCGTGTAAAAGTAACAATTTCTTTCCCGGACACGGCGAGACTGTGCTGAATGCAGCTGTAAGGTTGACCGATATACGCCGCAGCTGACATAAGCCAATTTATTGTTTCCTCTTGACACCAGCTTCTGATAGGTTTGTCGGACCATCCGGTGCCGTCAATCTCCTCATTTTCGTCACCTATCGAAACAACATTAAGGATCAGATCTGCAAATTCGCGCTGTTGGCACGTTAAAACTGCATAAACATATTTCGAATGCAAAACGTTGTTTTAGATCGATCGAACGATTAAATGCTAAAGTCAGTGCGGTTTCCCATAAATCGATGCAACACGTCAATGTTAAACAGTCCCGGGAAATCCCCACCAACGACTATCGTTACGTCGGCAATCACAGACTGGTAGCAAATAGCAGACTTGAACCTCTGTAAGTCTAATCGCACCGTAGGCAAAGCAAGAAAATTAAAAGGTAACAAATCTTCTAAAATTAAGTAATTTTTTTTCTTAATAATGTTTGATTTTGTTCACGTGCGACAAAAAAAACGCGAAAATACATTCAAGATACTTCTTTCTTACGGTGACAAATACGAGTATTATTATTATTAATAGATATTAGTATTAATATTGCAAGTATTGGAATTGGTATTGATATTATTTTAGTATTTTTTAAACATATTTTATCTATCACACATATTTAACATATTTTATCATGAAACGCTTTATCTCGAAATGCAATAACAAAATATGTAAAATATATTACTCCAAAAAATTATGGCATAGAAAAATTTTGGCCAACTTTGGCTCACGATAACTCCACGAAAAATAATAATGATGAAAAATCAAATTCATGTAGAATCATGAATTTTTTTTAAATTAAAGCTTGGAATCTTTACTTTAAGATACTTTGTATCAATTTTAACGCACTCGTATTACTGTAAACTCTTAAATCTGAGAGCATGTTTGCCATACTACTGAAAATTGTAAAGTTTGACGTATGGAAAGCACGGATTTGCTAAAATTTATCTTGGGGATGCCATTATAGTGACATAAAGCTCGAATCTTTCTCTTTAATTAAAACAAAAGCAAGTTGTTATGATTTTTCTCCGCAAAATTATAGTTTTAAAGTAACTCTTATACTTTCTCATGTATGATCAATATTATCCGATGTGCACTACAGGAAGTTTATCGATTGGATTTTGCATATTGTGTGTGTGTGTGTGTGGGTGAG